CGGTTCCTGCCTCATTCTTCCCATAACAACAAACCTCGTTACAGTAATATTTAAAGGGATAGTTCACACAAAAATGAAAATTCTGTCATTAATTACTCACCCTTGTGTCGTTCCAAACCCATAAGACTTTCGTTCATCTTTGGAGCACAAATAAAGATATTTTTAATGAAATCTCAGAGCTTTTGGTCCCTGCATTGACAGCTACACAACTACCACCTTTATACTTCAAAAAGTTCATAAAGAGATCGTAAAACTAATCCATATTAATCTATTCATCATATAAAGTGATTGTGTCTCTTCAGAAAATTGGCCTGAACTGGATTATGGATTAGTTTTATGATCTCTTTATAAACTTATTTTGCGTAGCTGTCAATGGAGGGACAGAAAGCTCTCAGATTTCATCAATAAGGTCTTCATTTGTGTTCTGAAGATTGACAAAAGTCTTACGGGTTTGGAACGACATGGCGGTGAGTAATTAATGACATAATTTATTTTTTGGTGAGCGATCCCTTTAAATATAACCATTTAAATAAATAATTATTATATTATTTAAATCATTTAAATATAGCCCGTTTTTACAGTATTGGGGTAGAGAAACTAAAAGAATATGAATTATCTCAGTTGGCTTAATTCGTTTAACAAATATATGTTTCCTTCAGTTATTACATGCTTAATTATGCGTATTAAAATATATTGTACGAGCTTCTGTTACTGATGTGTGCTCAACAAGCTTGGACGTGTATACGACTGCGCACTCGATCCACTTTAGGTACTTTACTCATCAGCTCACGCACAGCCGCTATACAGGTGTAGATATTGAATTTATTTTTAGTATTCTATTAATAAGATACATTTATTACATCTTTAATCTCTGAAACAGCGGTGGTTGAGGAGGGACCCCTGATATGATTGTAAAGCGCTTTGGATTTAGTACATATTATAAAGCGCAATATAAACGCCTCATTTCATATCTCCATATTTGAATTGCAATGTATTAAACCAGCACTAAGTAGGAATTCCGTTTTTGTCAAACAGCGACCCCTAGAGTCGCTGTGGAGTACTTGTACTGTCGTGAATAGCACTCACACAGAGATGGCTCGCACTCACGGCTGGATCCCCTCCCCCTGTACACCGGTACCTGTTCAGTGGGATGGAAGCTGTAACGAGTGGAAATAAGGTATGGCCCCTTTAAGAGCTGCGCGCCCTGTTTAACTGTCGGCAGTCTGTATTGTATGTGCGCCTCGAACACCACATGTATACGGCGCCGAGTTATTTCTGTTTGATGCTCATTTTATCAGAATTTTATCAGATCTGTTTTTTGCCGTAAAGCAATTCGTTACCTCGCAAGACCTGATACCTTGCAACTTTGGGCTCGCCGGCCCAAAGTTGCAAGGGTGGTTTTGCGGCTCACAGGCACCAGGGGGGTGCGAGACGACCACCATTCAACACGAAATCAGTAATATAAACATTACAATGACTCCAAAGCTGTTCGGTTAAGGTAAAAAAGTTACTTAGTTCACCTTTAATGGATAGCCCCTTGAGATGTTGTTGTCTTTCTTTGTCTGGACACAAACACTGTACACATGATGTGTGGTATCGCTTTATGGTAACGGAACATTTTGACGAGTACGAGACGGTATCGGGCCCGATACGAAACTGGTATCGGTGCAATATTTTCATGCGAATAATGATCAGTGATTTTTGCACAGGTTCTGGTGTACGTATAGTTTTACAAATCTGAAAATGTTTGTGTGTACGCAAAATCTGCCTTTTGTGCGAACACACACTTTAAAGGGATAGTTCACTTTGAAATAAATTTTTGATATGTTTTAGCTTACCTCAAGAGCATCCAAGATGTAGGTGTCTTTGTTTCCGCAGTAGTTTCAATTTTGATATTTTTAGGTCAAACCGTTCTTGTCTGTCAGTCATATAATGCAGGTCTGCACGAAACGAGCGGTTTGTGTGAGAAAACGAACAGTATTTATATCGTTTTTACCTCTTGTAACGCACAGACCGAAGCGCCCGCGCCCTCAGGTCACTTGGACGTGGCTGTGGTTACAAGAGGTAAAAACGATATAAATAGTGTTTGTTTTCTCACACAAACCTCTCGTTTCGTGTCTTAGGCCATCAATGTGTACTTACATTTACGAGTCATTAAATCATGTTTAATTTGGACTTCTCTGTGCATGCTCTTTGAGGTGGTGACCATAGACCTGCATTATATGACTGACAGACAAGAACGGTTTGACCTAAAAATATCAAAATTGAAACTACTGCGGAAACAAAGACACCTACATCTTGGATGCTCTTGAGGTAAGCTAAAGCATATCAAAAATTAATTTCAAAGTGAACTATCCCTTTAAGGATGAAATCTGTGCAAAGTTGTATACATGATGCCCCAGGAATGTGTATTGAGAAAGTAAACTGGTTCAACTTTTTAAAAACTTTTTTCTTTTCTTTTTTTTATCTTTCAAGCTAGTTCCTTTTATAGTTTCCTCTGTTGACATACTGTATCGCGTTGGTCCCAGAGTGTAAGAGACGTCTGGCCCCGGGTCCCTGTGGACAAGATGTTTACTGTAACCATCTCTGATCTCTGCACTGTATTTAAACATTGATTGTTTTGCTGGAATCGGGACTGTCAAATCAATGTGTTTACATCAGTCACATTGCTCTCTCTGTTTCTAAGCAAATCCGGGCAGCCGGCGAGATGGAAAGAGGCGGAGGAGGCCGTCAGCGCACCGCAGGCGTGTAAACATCGGCGGCGCACTCTGAACACAAAATCTCTATCCAAACATTCAACTTATTTTTGCAAAACTGATGATGCTGTCTGGCATCATGTGTGCACACTTAGAAAGAGAAAGGACTCGATTCTTATCGTGAGGCTGGGCTCGGTTTAGCGCTTGTGATGTTAGTTACAGGACTGGGGGGTCAAAGGTGTTTCAAATGCAGGGGGAAGTTTCATTGAAATCCAGCTTTGCATGATCATGGTTGTGCGACTCATTTTGGAGATATTGAGTTATATTAGCATTTCTGTAAAAGTTATCAAACTGTAAAAGCTTTATCTGTACTTTATCTTTATCATCTTTATCATTCTGTGCTTATCATTCCTTTTAACTGAGTTGAAAAAGTCTAAACTGTGTAAGAAATAATGAATAATGTACAAGGCTGCGTTTCCCAAAAGCCCAAGTTGATCGTGAAGACCATTGCAACCAATGTTCTCTATGATTAACTTAGCTCACGATGCTTTTGGGAAACACATCCGATAATGACCGACTGATTGACCAATTGGCACACAAACTTTTTAATATTAGAAGATCCACCAACATGTTTTTGTTGTCAAAATCGTTTAGAAAAAGCATGTTTTATTAGATTGTGCCCCATAAAAAACAAAACAAAAACTTTTTTATTCAATTAACACTTTGGATTTTTTTTTTAACAAAGTTAAAACCAAATATAGTTTTAGAGCTTTTAGCAAAATCAGATTTTAATAACCATACTTTTTTCTGGTCATGAAAATAAATAGCCATAGAAGCTGGCAAACAAATAAAAAACAAGGAAACAAACAAACTCATTGATGAATCAGAATTAAACATACCAGAGAGATGAATGATACATACTGTATATATGAGGTCAAAATCCATATTAATGTCCATTAATGGTGACATTAGAAATATCAAATTTATCAGTGTATCAAATGTCTTTGTAAAATACCAATATTGGGAAGAAGTCATTGGGATGACAGAAAAATGTCCCTACTTATTACGGTTTAGTCTAAAGCATGTATTATTTTACGTTAACATGTATTATTGTATTTTTTAATTCGTTTTCTTATTTTCTTTTTTTTTTTTATAAATGTTTTAAGTGTTTTTAAGCTTCCGTCCAGATCTGAGTTGAATTTTATTTTATTTTATTTTATTTTTTTATTTTTTCATGGTTCTGTCTGAAGCATCTAGATGCTCTCAATATTGTCTTACTAGTGTCCTGTTCTGAGCTGAAATGCTTTGTAACTAAACAAATGGAATAAATTACAACTCTGCTGTAAATTACAGTTTTTCCTCTGGGAGGCATTTGGATTAAAATGCATTAAGGTTAAAGAAAGAGGAATGCAATCACATTTAATTAAGACGGTTATGGTTGAGATATCTATTAGCCAGACACATGGAGCCAGAGTTTGAGCAGTAGGTGACTCTATACAGTAAGTGTCTCCCAACCATATAAAGTAAATGAAAATGTAATTAGCCTCTAGTTTTAGCATTTTTAATCTTGCCAATGTATATACTCTTAAAAGATGGTACTGTAAGTGTAATTTGTCGAGGGGAATCAATCAGCCAGATATATAAAAGCCAATGATAAAACTCTTTGACATAACTTGTGTGGTTTCCGACCAGAATTATGTCACTTCTTGAAGAAAATTGGCTTTTTTCTTCTTCTAATAAAATGAGTGTAAATCATTTGTCATGGATTTTTGTGAAATGCTGTTTCTAGCCAGACATGTTGGTTGATGAAGCCTCTTCCATCGAAAGTGTTGAGCTTCTCATGGAAGTTCCCATCTTCTCGTCTTTTAAAGGCGAGAGTCTGTGGCCACCCGGTGGTTTGCGCTACTATTGGATGAAACCGCTGTGTCGATATTAAGCACAATGTGGGAAGCTTTGGCAGCTGCAGTGTGGGAAAAACTGTGAATAAAGCCCTTCAGATTTTGTAAATCGCTCTCTTGCATTGGATACTCGAGCCATCTGTAATGAATGTCAGCTTTTGCTATGAATGAGTGATGCCTTTTTATTACCCAATTGAGGGCTTAACTGTGTGTTAATTGCCATTTTATGAACATTTACTCGCTGGGATGGCATAACAGAATCTATTTTAGATTATTTATCTAAAGATTTTGAGGTTTTTCACTTATAGTGATTGTGAAACATGTTGGCCAAGAGCTTAAAATGTGCTATGCGTTGAATGAAAGGTAAAGTGGGTTATAATTTTTCTGAAATGTTTTTGCCTTGCAGGTTTGCCCTTGGTGACGCTCGAAGACCCTTGCACGAGACCGCTGCCCTGGTGGAAGACATAGTGCACACTCAGCTCATCAACCTCGTAAGTGTGAACATCAGTCTTGTACTTCCACAATGTGACAGCTATTTGGGGATTTGATTGGCTTCTGAAAAGTAGGCAAAAATAATATTCATTTTCCCTGCTATGCAGTTTTCTTTTATTTTGATGAATTTGAGAACTTTTTTTTTTCTTTAGAAGAATGCAGCTATTTTAATGAAATGTAAATATGCAGACCATTGAAGCAATGAAGTGAATTTATTTTGGTTTCATGTTGTTCATGATTTCAATATAAACTTTATGGTTGAGCACATTAGCTTGTGGCTACACGTATTGGCGAGTAACTTGACAACCGCATCACCGGTAGCACCGGCGGTGGTCCGCCAAAACACTTTTTTTTTTTTGTCAGTGAATGCTGTTTTACGTCAATATTATGACACGAGTGAAGCACAAAGCTTTGTTTACAAAATAAATAATACGTTGGCAATTTAATGTTACATTGCAGCCATGGAAACATTTGGATTCGTGCCGAATGAGAGAGGGACGTCACGTGAGCCCATACATTTAAGCTTTGTCGGCTTTGTATTACGTTTTGTGATCTGGTTACCCGATTATCAGCGAATTTAACAATATTCCATTGGACATGGAATATCTTGTCCAATGATCTTGACTCACGTCTTGGCCATTTTCACAGGAGATTATAAACAATTCTTCCTTTGGTTCGTGGACATTTTTTAATATAACTCCGATTGTATTCCTTTGAAAGAAGAATGTCATATACACCTAGGATGGCTTCAGGGTGAGTAAATCGTGGGCTAATTTTCATTTTTGGGTGAACTATCCCTTTAAGCCGTCCAACACCACCGTGCCACCGCCGGTAGTGGTAAAAAACTGCCACCATCACAGCCCTAATTGCCGAGAATAATAATGATTCAGAAAACACCTAATTGGTCCTATATGGTTAACCAGGGTCCTTTAGCAGGTCATTTGGGGTCAAACATGAGTGCTGATAAGAGCTTAAGGTAACTAGCATGACACCCTGGTGCACATGCCAAGCTCGCGACATTTGCATCTGGAAAACGGTTTTACTGAAATCTGTAATTAAGTATAAATAGCATCATCAGAGGCAGCCTGTTTTCCCTCCAAAGGGAACACCACCTTCTTCAAATGCTTCCTCGGCTTTTCCAGCCTTCTGAAATGGATCGCATTCAGTCCGACCGCTGCAATGTGATATGAGAATTGCGCCGAGTTAAGTAAATAACTGTGCTTACAAAGCCAATTGCTTTCACTGCTTGGATAAACACCGTTCCTCCCCGGCTTACACCTTGTCATGCCGTTACCACAAGCAAATCAAAACACTGACTGTAACAGACCAGAATTCCCCTGAACGGAGCCCAACAAATATCACCGGGAAGCAGCCTGCGCTTTACTGGCACGCTGACTCCAGATATAATTGGTTACGCTCAGAGGGCGCCTTGAGTTTGGAAACTCACTCGGAGAATTATCTTGTAGGGGTCACGTAGCAAACTCTGACACGTTGCGGTGGTTTTAACCTTTCACCCCGTAGCTGCACGGTGCCCTCTCTCGCCAAAAGGAGTAAAGCAGCTTTTAACATTCATTGTTTTAACCTTTAGCCCGTTGAGTTGGAGAGCTCTTAAATCAGGCAAGCTGGTGGTCTGCAGGTTCTGCATGCATTTATTTTGTATGCTCAAATTAAACGTGGTACATTTGTTTCTCTTCTCGGAGCCAAACCATCACAGTGGCTGAGTCTGTCATATAGACGCGGGATATGAATGCGAACACAAGTCGAATCAAACTAAATATTTGCGCAGCGCTGGTTTGCTTTTGGCAACAAAAGATTTCAGACCCTGTTATTACCAGAATGTTAAAATCAACCCATTTTTTCTTTGACACTGCTTTGGGGTCTTGCAGTTTGCAGAGCAAATGGCCCCACATTTTATTGTGAAGATCAATGGAGTTTGTTCTGATGCGAAGGAAGCGTCCCACCACCAGATTCTCAAGTTCTTGTCTTGCTCACTTTATGTATTTGTTGACTGTCATCTGCACATCCTTAATATCTGACACTGACTACATGCACACGTTTCCAATCAGATGGGATCAGCAGTGTTGGGGGTAACACAAGTTACATAATCAGATTATTTTTTTCATGTAATGTAACGCATTACTTTTAAATTTACAACAAAATATCTGAGTTACTTTTTCAAAGAAGTAACACAAGTTACTTTGTTTTCCCATTTATTGACTGACACCTCTCCTGTCCCCATGTTGAGAGAAATCGAGAGTAAGTGCAGAGGCGCTGTGTATTTAATCTGTTTATTTACTAATGTCTTTTAAGTTTTTACCTTTAAACTATATTCTAGGGCTGTGTCCGAAACCCAGAGGTGGACAGCATTTTTACTTTACTTTTCCAGAGTGTTTTTCTTCGGAAAACTTTTACTTCACTACATTCCAAAGCATAATGTCATACTTTTTTTACTACACTACATTTCATAAATTAAAGTCCATGGTCCATTTTTTTTTACCTTTGATACTTAAGTACATTAGAAATGTTGTACTTTCTTACTTGTACTCAAATGAAACTTTGAATTACTTTTACTTGATTAAAAGTAAGAAAATACTAGATTTCCAATGTAATTAAGTTTTAAAAGAAATTCAATATGAAACGTAGTGCAGTAAAAAGTACGACATTATCCAAGAAACCAAACCAGCTCTAGTAGCCTAATCAACTAAGATACATACATGTTCTACTACTATCTCTTTTAATGTTTTAAGCTTTGTATGATATGATAAGCTAAAGCTACATGATATTTCGTTGTCTCGCTCTCTCTTGGAGATGTCATTTATGCAGGTATATACTTTATAACTAATTCAGCTTTGCATGTTTGTCTTTTATTTATCATTTAGTATTATTGTTTTAATTAGAAGATAATTGAATATGTATTTATTGGATCAGGAAAGGTCCTCAAGCCGGGACTCGAACTCATGTCGCCCGAAGCACAACCGCATTACACCTCCATTACAACTCATTGCACTTCCTATACAAGGCTACCGGCTCCAACAGTTAAAAGATATTTAAATGTTATAATCATAATAAAAAAAAAATATTTGATCAGTTATACAAGGCATTTTTGTTCAGTGATAACAACGAAGAAAACAGATAGGCTGTAAAACCATAGACATAACGTTCTTCTCAAGTAATTGTACGAACTTCCCGGTGAAGCCCCGCCCACTTCCGGTTTTATTCGAATACAGATACGAATAATTTTTTATTCCCGATTGTTACAGATATATTCCCCTCTGCACACCCCTACTATATTCACTGGCTTCCAGTTACGCCCGTACGAGAGTCTAGTTCTGACGGAAGAGTGAACTCTGATCCGACGCATGACGTATTGACAAACTCTGAAGCGCAGAGGATAGAGCAACACAAAACACCATTCACGAATTAGAAGTCTAAAATGAGAATATTCAAAGAGAAATGTCGGAGGAGCTTGAGTTTGTTGCCCATCCCTGTTTGTTTGAACCGCGAGAGGCGTCTACTCTCACCGAAGCTTACGCTACGCCTACATCCTACGTCATGCGTCGGGTCAGAGGTCACTCTCAACTCTCTCGTCAATGGGCGTACGTCCGGAACCGGGAGCTAGTGATTACAGTTTATAAAGTTTTATTTAGAAGGCCTTTATCAACCCCCTAGAGCTGTATGGATTACTTTTATGATGGATGGATGCGCGCGCTTTTTTTGGGCTTCAAAAAAATGGTACCATTCACTGCCATTATAAAGCTTGGAAGAGCCAGGATATTTTTTTATATAACTCTGATTGTGTTTGGCTGAAAGAAGAAAGTCATGTACACCTAGGATGGCCTGAGGGTGAGTAAATTATGGGATAATTTATTTTTTGGGTGAACTAATCCTTTAAGAGTGTTTAACACTCTTCTCCTGTTTTCTATTCTTCTGTAATCCAGAATGGCAGCACAGCTGAAAGGTTTGTTTGACTGGCGCCCTTTACTACTTTACATTTGCATTTCCTTCAGCCTGAGGCGTATTCATTTTACTTTTGGTGTGAAAGGGCCTTTACCTTTGGCAATAGTATAACTTTTGTTTCTTTTTTGTTGTTAAAATCAAATAAGTAAGCCCAGCCCAGGGTGAGAAAGAATAACGCAAAAGTAACTCAATGCATAACTTTCCATAAAAAGTAACTAAGTAATCAGTTAGTTACTTTTTTTAGGGAGTAACGCAATATGGTAACGCATTACTTTTAAAGGTAACTTTCCCCAACACTGAGGATCAGTGTACAAACAAACTGAATGAAATTACCTCTAATGTGGGTTAAAGTTGCATCTTTAACAATTACTGGAATCAGATCATAAGTAAATGATGCTGAATAGGACATCCCAGAATCACTCACTTCTTAATATCAAATGAAGATCCTCCGCTATGTATCTTATGCCATCTCTTAAGCATATTTTATGAAATTGTTCTGACTTTTGTATAACAAGTCCACCCTGAGACCATATCAGAGTTTTTAATCCAAAGCAAATTATATAGGTTTATAAATGGCTCCTTTACAGCATTTGCACATGTTCGCGATGAAAATAGCCAAGGAAGCTGACATGATGTTAAGGCACAATAAATAACCATCAGTTGGTGTAAACATCAGTTGGTGTAAAATCACATTATTAAAATCTAAATCGAGCCCATATGCCATCATGTAAAACTACAGATATACATGATAAAGCTGTGACATACAGTGTGTTGCATGTAATTTACAGCATATTTTCAATTGAATGAACTCAAGAAAGTATTGATTAATGTTTCAGATCACCAGACATCGAGCTTTGAAGAACGTCTCACGCATATCCGCCTTTCAGCACCTTGTAATTTCCTCGAAGTGGCCGATCTTCTTGTGTTTTCTTCTTCTGACAATCCGAGAATGACACGGTCTGTTTGGCATTACGGCACTATTTTCGTGTTTATTTTCTCAGCACTATAAATAACCCGCTCGTCTCAGCAGTGAGCACTAAAC